TATTTGAGTTCTGGGTTCATAGTTCAATATTTTCAGCAATTTCAATCGATTTTACAAAGATAAATCCTACTCTATACTAAAAGTTATGAGTCAAATAAACCTACATTAATAGGCTAAATTCACTGACTTTAGATCCTGAATTCCTCCATGATGCTTGTTCCGGTGTTTCTTCTATCTATCTACCTATCTATCTATCACTTGATTTGATCTCGTCATTATTTTGACCTTTTTGATTTTGTGTGATGTAGAGAATCATGAGGCGGAGTTTCATTATAGGGAAGGGCATGAGAAAGGTCCAAGTAAATGGGGAGAGTTAAAGAGAGAATGGGAAGTTTGCAAGAATGGGAGGATGCAGTCTCCTATTGATATTTCAACTTATAAAGTGAAATTCATCAAAAATATTGATCACAAGAAAGTTTACAAGCTCTCTAATTCTACTATAAAGAATAGAGGCCATGACATTTCAGTAAGTGTTTAAGATTGTATTATTTTGCTAATAAGTATTAATTAGAAGTTTTTCTTCTTCTTTTACATTTGATATCATGAAAAAAAATTTAATGTTACAATTTTTGCATAAATGATTTCCGCCAATAAATAAAACTTAAACTCTTAGCGAAAAAACTAGTGAGGATTGTCGGTGTAAGACAAATTGATAGTGGCATACGCAAGAATTATTATAAGCAGTGTCAACATTTGAAGAAGTGAACAAATGAATAAATCACTATACATTAAGCGTTGTCATTTATTATATTTATACCAAATGTTTTCATTTTTCTTATTTTTTATACATATTGACGAATATTTTTGACGAAACGGCCGCTTGACATACCCTGCTATATATCCATATAGGTAAAGGGCGGAGGTATAGACAGGCACCCCCTTCGTGTATATATATATATATATATATATATATAAAGTCAATTTTTTTTATGTATATATAGTAGCTGTTGAATCCCTTGGTAAAAATTATGCCTTTGCCGCTAATATAGGTAGGTAAAATGTTCAAATTTTTATATTGTATTTTCCTCCCCTTAATTTCATCTCCCTCCCTCTGTCCCCCATCTAGTGATATGAAGAATTTTTGATCAAATTCAATTTTCACTGACAAATAATCTTTACATAATTAAATCATGTAATATGCAGTTGAAGTGGCATGGGGATGCTGGATCCATTTGGGTGAATGGCACACAATACCCTCTTCAACAAGTTCACTGGCATTCTCCTTCTGAACATACTATCAATGGCAGAAGGTATCAATAATATCATATTATTAATATGTTAATTACACACACATACTAAATTACTTCTTGTTATTTGTACTGTCAATTGTTTTAAATGTTATCTTTTGAATTAGCTAGAATAGGGGTAAATTAGAAGTATCTAGTCTTTATAATAAAAATTAATAATTTGTAACTCGATAAAAATGGTAACCATTATGCTATTACATGTTAAACTATGCAAATGTGCATCTTTAAGGAGCTACTGGCTAGGTCTGATAAGTAAATTTTATGCTGTCACTTAGTAGGGAATTTTTACACAAATAACCGATTGGATTCACTATTAACTATTTCTAGTCAGTATACATAGATTATACACTGATTATAGTATATTTGTTACGTATTATATATAAAAAAGAGCACCTCGGTGCACTAAGCTCCCGCTATATGCGGCGTTCGGGAAAGGATTGGACCACAAGGGTCTATTGTATGCAGCCTTATCCTACATTTCTACAAGAGCCCGTTTCCACGGCTCAAACACGTGACCACCTGGACACATGGCAACAACTTTACCGCCAAGGCTCCGGTGAATTATATATATGAATTATACATATTGCATAAGTGGCTATTTAGGATAATTTTTTAATTTGGAGGTTAGTAATATATAATTGTCATTTAAATTATTTTTTTGACCCTTTTGTCAACTTTCTTTCTGCTATCAATTGAATGATAGGTACCCCTTGGAAATGCATATGGTTCACCAAAGCAATGTGGAGAAGGTGAAAAATAAGATAATTGTCAATGCTGTCCTTTACAAATTTGGTAAACCAGATCCATTTCTTTTTAGTGTAAGCATTCTTTATATAAAGTTATTTTTTTTATTTAATATATATTAGACGTTGAATTCCCTTAGCTTCTTTGTTTGCATATTTTTTTATATATTTTTGAATCCTCGTGGTGAAAATCCTACTTCCGCCATTGACTCCGTTTTTTTCAACAAAAAAATGACATAATTTGTAATTTATGACTATAGTTGAGGAGGCACATATCATCTATGATTGATCAAGAAGGTAAAGAGAGGAAGTTGGGCAAGATTGATCCAAATTACATAATTAGTAGTCCAAGCAAAAGATACTATAGGTACATGGGTTCACTCACTACCCCTCCTTGCACAGAAGGTGTCACTTGGATAGTCAACAAGAAGGTAAAATTCCACGTTTAAAATTCACAGGATATATTATTATTATTATTATTATTATTATTATTATTATTATTATTATTATTATTATTATTAAACCTTATTCATTTTAGGTACAAACTGTTTCAAGAGGTCAAGTGATGTTGCTCCGAAAAGCTGTCCATGATGTAAGTTGCCCTCTACTCTTTATTTTCTTAGCCTCACAAATCACAATAATACGAAAGCTAAACATTTCTATATATTTAAGTTTTTAAATTAATTTTTTCGAATGTTTGTACTAAATAGAAAATGTTCCTTTCAAAGTTTGTGATGTAATGAATATTATCTCTTTTGGTTAAAAGTTTCTAATTCGACTTGTGAGAATGGAAAAAAATCATAATAGGGAGCAATTTTCCTTTTAATGGATCTTACACGCTATGAATTTGGATTTGCTGTGGCCCCAAACGGATACCGGATACCTAGTGAAAAATAAATAAAATAAAATAAGAATAGAAAATGTTAGCTTTATAATGTTTTTGATTTGGCTTAATGTTATCTGTTTTATCTAAATAAATTTCATCACATCTTGATTTACTTAATAATTGGCAAAGTTTTCCATCAAGTGAAATAAGAAAATTAATGTAAGATAAAAAGACAAGATAGAAAAATGATTGGTATATATATATATATATATATATATATATATATATATATATATATATATATATATATATATATATATATATATATATATATATATAT